TGTGTGTGTGTGTGTGTGTGTGTGTGTGTGTGTGTGTGTGTGTGTGTGTTTATAAAATAAAATGATAGCCAAACCAGTAACCACGTGTAAATGTTATGTATTTATATAATGTATAACTATTTAATAAATTTATATAAATATATGCGCATATATATGTATGCATGCAAATGCATACAAACTTTATATAAACATTCCGTATTCATATACTTACATACATACATATTGATTCGTTGTACCGATTGTATTATACCAATGAAGTAGGCTGTGTCGGAAGTTGCAAGGCAAGATCTGTACACATTACAATACTATCAAGATAAATCATTCTCTGACTACTCGAAACACTACTATTAAAATACTCATTTCACAATATTTATTAAAATGGTATTCATAATATATATATATATATCAGTGGTTCTCAACCTTTTTTGAACGACGACACCTTAATTTAGATCCATAAAAATGGCGACGCACTTAAAAAATTTTTATGGATTTTTGAAAAAGTAAAAATTACTTAATTAAAATATAAACAATTTAAAATTGGTATTAAAAAAATATTATCATAAAAACAGTATTAGTTTATAAAGGAAATTAGTGCGATACTTGTGATTGGCGAACTGAACATAGTCTTCGATTCGTGGACGAATTGTTGACATACTTACGCGTAATTCACTTTCAATATCTTTAAGCGTTGACCTTTTTTTGGTTTTTGTTACTTCTGATGTTGAAAATGATGATTCACACATATATGATTTTGAAAAAGGCAAAAAAATTTGCAACGCTTTTTTGCTCACTCCTGCGTTTTTTGAATTATACTTAAATGGATTATTGATTCTTCAACTGAAGAAAAGCATGAAAAATCATCATTTTTTATGGATGATAAGCATAAATTAATTTTTTTTTGAAACTTTCCATTTTATCACTTGTAGAAATTATATTTTCTTTATGACCTTGCATACTCGAATTTAAAACATTTAGTTTTTGAAAAATATCAGCAAGGTAAGCTAATTTAGCACACCACATTTGATCATCAATTTTATTTGCATAATTATTTATGTTTTCTGCTTTAAAATAAATTTGTAATTGATCTTGGAGTTCCAATACACGATTTAATATTTTACCTCTTAAAAGCCAACGTATTTCGGTATGAAACAACAAAGTAGTGTGTTCTGTACCGATATTTTTACATAATTCTTCGAATTTTCTACATTTTACTGGTCGTTTTTTAATATAGTTAATCATTTCAACAACAGTTTTGAGAACATCACTTAGTTCTCTACTATCCGAACTTTTTACCATAAGAGCTTTACGGTGTAAAAAACAGTGAATTGTTATTAAATTAGGGTTTTTATTTTTTGCGAGAGTCAAAAATCCTTTAAATCGACCAGTCATCGCCGCTGCACCATCTGTGCAAATTGAAATGCAGTTCGACCATATCATATTATTTACTTTGAAATAATTATTAACAGCATTGAAAATATCGACTCCAGTTATTGTAGTTTGTAATTCAGGGAAAAATAAAAATTGTTCAATTATTTCTTTTCCATTGACAAATCGTATGAAAGAAATTAATTGAGATTTACCATAAACATCGGTACTTTCATCAAGTTGTTATGTGAATGCTTTATCTTTTTGTAATAACTCATTTACATTTTTTACAATATCCTCCGACATTGTTATTATTCTTCGACGAACAGTATCATTTGACAACGATATGTTTGATATTTGTTCAGCTGCTTCTTTACCAAACATTAAATCAACAATTTCTATACAAGTTGGTAAAATCAATTCTTCTCCGTTGGTATGTGGTTTTTTTTTTCTTTGCAATTAACTTAGAAATTTTAAAAGAACATAAAAAAGATTTATCAGATATTTTTAAACGTTTTTCCATAAATGTTGAATTTTTTTTTTTTTGTTATGACCATAAATGCATAAAATAGTCAGAACTTTTTTTACTAACAAAACTATGACTTTGCTCTAAATGTCTTTTTAATTTATTTGGTACCATCGACTCGTTTGATAAAGTTGCGCTACATACAATACACTGAGGTATTTGATTATTATCATCACCAATAAACGTAAATCCAAAATTTAAATAGTTGTCGTTATACTTACGACGTTTTACTGTTGTTTTGTCATTAATTTTTGATGAAGACGGTAACGGTAAATTAGTAGGGTTATCAGTGCTCATGTTAACCGAAGTTGAAACTTTTTTAATTATAAATTTGTCCATACTTAATATACCTTTTTTAATATAAAATGTATTAGAAAATACGAAAATATAACGAAATTACACAGACACAACGCGCACAATACGGTGATTACGATTAAGAATAGTGAGAACGTGCTTACTTACGTACCTACCTACACATAATGCTAATTTACTATTAAATAGTTACGATTACTTCGTAATAATTACGAGGTAAAAATATCTTCATAATTGTTTTTCTTATCTCTGGGTTTTACTAGGTTTTCATAATTTGTTCGGCGATACACGCTGTATTAATATGTGACACACTAGTGTGTCACGACACACCGATTGAGAACCACGGATATATATATATATACGTTTTACATAAAATGCATATATAATTTGAAAAAATCAAAAAATCTAATGATAAAAGGTTCCAGTGAATTTAATAATACTTTATGTTGTGTAGATTTATACCAAAAAATGTGAAAGCTATTTGAATTTTGTCACAAGAATTTGTACAATGTTTCACTCATCTAATATTTCTTTGAAAATAATATCACTTTTTAAACTGTGACTAAAATCTTGCAATTGTAGTTGGCACTCAACTCATCAATTTTTCCGTTATATGTATACATGTACAGACAATTTAGAATTTTAATAATTTGATATTATGTGAAATCGTTTGACTTTATAAAAATTGCAGACATTTTTAATTGATTTTTAAATCATCTCCAATATATATTGTTGATTACTGCAACAATATATGAGATAATCAATAGGCAATGATCAGTGCTTGACTTGGCAAAATTAAAGAAGGGGGACTCTATTTACTTTTAAAAAAAAGAATGTCCATAAAACTGGCTGAGTGTTATGATTATAGCATAATAATAGTAGGGGGACGCTAAAATTTCTGAAAATTAGTTGGGGTACTCCGTCCCCCTGCGTCCCTCTTCAAGTCGAGCATTGGCAATGATACAACGAAATTAAAAACTTCAAAAATACTTTCAGAAATTCCCACGTGAATGTTATTTGTAAATAAATTAGGAGCTATGAAAACTTGCTGTAGACAAAAATGTTTTTAAAAAATTAAAAACGTTTTAATTTATTCTTTTTTTTTTTGTAATATCAATAATACTATAAGTGCCAAAAATACTAGAATCGAATCGAACCTTTCATGTCATCGACCGTCAGTTGTCACTTTATTTTCACAGTCCGTCGACTTATCATCGACTTACTATAGTTTCGAAACCTTGACGTTAGTTAGACAACCGTTATCGAATTAATGAATAAAATTTAATTGTTTTTTCATTAAATCAAAGTTCTTTTCAAAAAAACCGTTCAGTCGAGGGG